TTTTTAAGTGTGCAAGTTCAATTCTAGTTCAGCTGAGTGATGGAAGTGACTCCTCGCTCAGTGCATGTTCTTAAAATATCACTTATGGTTGTGTTGCAATCTATAAAAATCTCATTTTAGTTTTTTCCCATAATCTTCACAAGCCTCCTTAAACAATCTTCGTATTCAAGACAGTGCTTGGTAGGTGGTAATCTTCAGTAAAGACGATAAGATTCACTTGATGGTTTGTTACTCATATAATAAATGTTTGTATTTCATATTTCATATTCTGTATAGTATTTAAAATCTGAACTAGGAAACCAAGAAATGGTTGCCAGTCACTGATGCTCCATTGCTGATATCCCTCCTTGCTATTTTCAGCATCACAACTCTGTAATCTGTTCCAAAGATTTCAGACTGGCAGACAGCGGTTAGTTGGCACCCTCTCTGAGGAGTAATTCAGTTCACATTCATGCTGTAGCCAGTGTTCACACATGACCATGATCTTTGCACTGAGAGCATCTTACCCACTTTGTGAGGAAGAAAATTTCCCAAAAGGATAAAGACATTTTAAAATTTCACTGTCGGTAACAATTTTTCTTTTTAATATGACATCCTAGACAACATTAAGGGACCAGAAACAACTGGCCAGGGATCCAAAAATTTGTAGGGATCCCAAAACATTTTAAACTCAATTGTTCGCTAAATAATAGGATCCCAGGAGGGCACATAAATTCTAAAAATTATAACTTAGAGATCTTACAACCTTTTAGCTCAGAGAAATGCCATCATGGAAATATTAGAATAATTTGCATCTCTCTGTGATTTGGTATTTTCCATGTCCAAGGTTTCTATGCTGACTTAGATTAGAATCCCTTTACATTTCTAAAATTTATGTGATACTTGAAGGAAAGAAATCCAAGAACCTAAATATTGTCGATGAGTGACAAAGGATTGACTCACCATATAAAATACAATGACACACAAGATGATGATGACATTGGATAGATAATCATCGAGCCACTACTCTCCAAGCCCAAACTGGCTTCTGGTATGTGTCACTTGTGAATAGAAACTGAATGTAAACCTCCTGATATTACGGGAGACATAGATGAAGCACATTTAGCACAAAAAGAAACCATGCTTTTGCTAATCTCAGGTCACTGTTGTTATTGAGAATATGTAAACAATGGCACCAAGATTTGAATTAAGTGAAATAAATCCTTGATTTCTTCTGTTAATAGGAATCTTAGAAAATCTAAAACTTACTTTCGCTAGGTAGAAATCCATTTGACTGCTTTATAATCCTCCTAATCATACTTACTCTAAACTAACAGAGTTTCTGATCTTACCTTGAGCAAGAAGGAAAAGGCAAACTATGATTCACAAGCAAACAGAGAACTAAAAAGAGCACATTTTGTGCAATGGCGCCTTTGGTTTTCTTAGTGAAATGCTTTTGGTGCTTAGCTGACAAGCCCTTTGAAGTAAAAAAAAAAAAATCTGGCATTATATCATATATAAAACATTTCTAGATACAGGACTTTAATATTAAGGTCAGTTTTTTTCAATTCAGTTGTTACTGTGGGGTTTTGTAGGTTGTCAATGGAAGAAACCCTCCCTAGTTCCCCCGTCTACTTACTGTTTTGTCCTTTCATTTATACAACGTTTTACTTCATTTAAGACTTACTAGACCTTGGCATTTTCCAGGCACCAAGGATACAAGAGTAAACAGTGACACTCCCTATTTTAATGTTGGCAAATATTTAGGAAATAAAGACTTTTCAGTTCATCAATGAGCTTTAAATAAAGTTGAATAAAGCTAGTAGTTTTAGATATGTCAGTCATCTCTGTGAAGTCCTCAGGATTATACCAATTTAAAATTCTAAAGTATCTAGCAGTGGATGTAATGATTACTTCTGTCACTCTTCTGGTGAGTGCTTTGCTGTTTGGCAGGAGTGTTTACCAAGGCCATTCAGAATGTCAGGATTTTGATTTCTAGGGAAAACTTGAAACTCAGATGGTTTCAGCTCAAACAACCCACCATATACAACCTGGGAGTCTCTAACACTGCAACAATTGAGGCAAAGAACTGCACAGTTCTTTTGTTAAAAATAATGATAGTCATATGATAGCATGAGAGTACAAAGCACAGATACATTCTTGATGATCTCACAGACAAAGGGCAAACATTCATTTTGCATAAGGCCAGGAAGGCACTTTCAAGCTTGCAAAATTTTTTTTCCTTTCTACTACATCAGAGGCAGTTTTAGGTAATTTAAGTGAAATAAATGCACGGAATTCTCCAAAATGTCTGTTGGAAAATCAGAAATGTTTGGAGTCATCTGTATATGGTAACTACTTTTATGTCGGGATTATCTTGTAGTGAAACACTGTTTTGCTTAAATGGTTATGTTTTGATCTGCACTGTTTTGTTGTTATGCCCTCTTTTATCTCAATCTCCATTTTATTATTTACTGTTTTATTTTTATCCTTTTAATTAGGGAAAAATAAAAAAATAGTAAGATATATTATAGTAACCCACTTTGATTTACTATTAAATTGATTTGAAGCCCTGTATTGCTCTCACCATCTTGTTTTGACTGATGTTCCTCTATTCTGTTTTGCTTGATAGTATTAGGTTCGAAAGTTTAGGCAACAGCTGTGAAGATAGTGGGACTCATTATGACGCCCATTCTGGTTGACTATTATCTACTTTTGAAGACCTGTAATGTCTCCAATGTTTTGGTTTTGTTGGTTTCGTTCTTTACTGTTTTGTTCAATTTTATTATAACTGATGATATAGGCAACTCTATTAGAGGTAGCAGGAGGCATTATGGTAACCATTGTTGATCACCTTGTATTATGTTTTTACATTATCTATTATGTCCACCCTTTTGATTTGACCGACTCTGTTCTGTTATGTCACATTTGGTTTTACTCTCTTCCAAAAAAAGTAATAAGAACTGTGGGAGCAATAAAACCCAAAATGTATAATAGCCATTGTACAAAAGAGAGGAAAAGAAAGTGCTCTAAACGATATAACTGCATGTATATTTAAGTGTATAAGATAGACAATGGTATTACTGAGTTTTGTTGGATCATTGAACAAAACTGTTTCCAGTCTCACTGTTTGAAAGTCCACTTCATATGCTTTAATTTTGTAACTTGAACAAATATTTCTAAGATGACAATATGTAATCCATTAACTAGTGATTTCCTACTGTTTATTTTTTTCTGAAATTCTGTATAACTTGTACCCTTTTTCTGCTTTTTTTCTTCTTCTCCTTAAATAAAATTTTTTAAAAAAGAGTACACCAGAAAGATCAACAGCTTCATACTCCCTTCAAGAGGAAATTAACATACATTTGAACAGATGTTTGTAAAGCTTTTCTGCAAAATCCAGCGTATAAATATTTTAGGCTTGGAAGCAGTGGAATCTCTGTCACAATGATTTCACTCAGCCTCTATAGCATGAAAACATCTATAGACAGTATACAAATAAATAAATATGGCCTTGTTCCAGTGAAACTTATTTACAGAGGCAGGCAGCAGGCCAGGTTTGCCTCCAGCACCATGGGTTAGCAAGCCCTGATTTAGGTAAACCTGTATTCAGAGCAATGGTAATGTTTCTCATGTTTATTAGTTTCTCATTCCTATCTTATGTCCTCTCACATATTGCAATATACCTAAGCATTTTCCCAAAGTAATAAAACCATGAGGTTTAACTCATGGTTAAACCATGAGGTAAAACTTGTAAAAATGATGGTATAATGAAGTATTTCCTCAGAAACCTAATATTTATCCATTTAAATGCAATTTTTGCCAGTATTGATAAACTTTTTGTTGTCTTCCTATGTCAAAGATTATTCCCCTTTGCTTTATAGTGAGTGCAATTAAACTTCCCTTACCTTCATAAATGGTCTTTGAATTCTTAGGTGCTTGAACTATCCAGATGCAAATGCTCTATGTTAGTTCCCTTTGATTTACCTTAAATTTTAAAATTTCCCAGTGGTTATTTCTACTACCTCTACCTTTTCTATCAGCTATCAATGTCACTGTATCTGTCTTTCTAGTGACTGCTTTCTCTAAGTCCACACCACCTTCTCCCATACACCCACGCACAAAAATCTGCTCACACTGAAAGATAAATTCTGATTGAAAGACACACATCACCTAGTTTCTAGAATCACGTAAATTGTCAGAACAAACTCAAATTAAGTTCATTTTTTGCCAACACAAAATTCACAATAGCTATTTCCTGTAGCACTCCATACCTTGACTGTGTCTCATTTTGGAGGGAGATTTTATAACATCGAAGTTAATGAAAATGTGTTACAAGATGCATAAGATACCTAGTATCTTAAATATCTCCCTATTTTCTGGGTTATTTGGAAAAATTGATATAAGATTTTTTTTTTTTTTTTTTTTTTTTGCTTTATATTTTCTATTCTACACCCTGCTTATCTCTCAGGTTGTCTTGTTCAGTTTAACACAATACATCTCAACCCTGGACCATATAAGAATCCTCTGCAGAGAATGTGAAAAATACCAACCCTTGACCCCACCCTGCAAAGTCTTCCTATCTGTTTGTAGGAGTGAGAATACATATCTTATTCCTTTTTTTCTTTGTGGTTTGTTTATTTGTTCACTTAGGACTTCTGTGTAATTCTCAGGTTAGTCTACTGCTAACAACCATTAACTTCCTGCATCAATTCCTTTTAGAACTCTGGATTATAAGACTAAATGAAGAGTTGGTTACACCAATACTCCTGTCTATTTTGTGGCACTGAAATGAACAGTTAATAAATGTGTGCTTATCCAAGGACTTTAACTTCCTGTTTGGTTAAAAAAAAAAAATACCGTAAAAGTTTTATTCTCAATGACTGTAGGGAAAATAGTAAGACATTAGCTTTCATTGTTGTTCAGTCTCTTTTCCTTGGTTGACTGCTGTGTCTCAAAAGATTGTTTCGATTTTTTGGTAACCAAAACTATGTGCATGTCGCTGTCTTTCTCTGTCATAGCAACGGAAGAATGGGCCACAACTCGCTCCAGCTTGAAGGCACCGCCCCCCAGGTCAACGAGAGGGGGATACAGGGAACACCCCTATGGTAGATATTGAAGGTCCTCCTCACCCGTGACTGCACCTAAAGAGAGTGCATAGCCTGTGGTCTCCACGTAAACAGCAACGAGACAAGTAATAGTCCTTTCGTTTATCTTTTCTACCCTAGGGGTAACTACTCTGAGTACTCACATATGTTTCTTGTATTGCTTTCTATGCTGTGGGCGTGGTATTGACACTAGTATATTTTAAACAGCAACCTGAACGAGAGACATTGGCAAGCGTAGTTTATAAACCACTCAGTAGGATGATATTCTCTTGGTTGTTTTCATTGTTGTGTGTAATCTTTTTTTTTTTTCCTTCTCTTTCTTTCTTTTCTTTTTTTTTAAGAAAGAGCATGAATCTGTTAACGGATTTTGAATCTCAACCAATTAGCGAAACTTTGTTTAGGGTTACTAAAAGCCTGTAATACGATTTTTGAACTAGCTGATAATAAAGTTGTAGATAAGATGTTTTAACCTGTCTTTTAATATCTGTTAGTTAGATGAAGATGTTCGATATTAAGTTTGTAAATTTAATTTTAAATGCTGTCTTAATGGGGTTGAAAACAAGCAGCTACTGTATGTATGTAGCTAACTGAATTTGTTCAGTGTTTTAACCTGTATTTGTTAAAAAGGAAAAAAAAACACACATAAAGTTCCATGTGTAAGCTTCTCTAAATAGGAAACCACAATTTGTCAAATATGTTTGCCATAATTTGTCAATAAAGCTGAAAACTTTTGTAAAAACTAAATTTGGAATTACTTGTTTTCTAGCTTTAAATGCCTGCTTTATTTCTTCTTCAGAGATGCCTAAAATGTTTTCTATTTAAAAATTACAAAAATGAACCCAAGCCTGTTTTAAGATATTTGTGTAATACTTTAAAATGTATTAATAACTTATGGTTGTTAAACAATTTAAAAGTTAACAAACTAAACGGTTACATGAATCATGGTTAGTAAGCACTAATGTATAACATGTTAATGGAAAAAAATGGATTTAGAATAATAAATGGATTTTAAACTATCCTCTAAGCTTTATCTTGCTAAACACAAATTCTGATTGACTTGTTTGCATTAGCGTCTCTCGTGAGAAAGAGTAATGGAGTATAAAGAGGTAAGATTACCACTTACCACTGTCTAAACGCCTAGTTCTTCAACCTTTGAGTTTCCCCGCACATTAAATATCCCATCCAACATGTAAGCATTGCGTAGATTCACTTGACTGTTTTCACTCAAAGGAGTGCGTGGACTTCATTTTTGTAGTTGATAACAATTTGTTTTGACAAACAAATCATCAGTGTCACCGGCCAGTTGTTGCGATTCAACCTCAAAAACTTTATTTGTAATTTTCAGTGCTAAATATCACCGCCCTTGAAGGCAGTTTAGAGGGCTGATATTTCTTTTGAGACTATCAGACTTGATGGCTGATGATTATTAAGGAAATATGTCGCAGGACTCAAAGGATGACTAAACGTTAAACAGGTAACACTAATAGTAACTCTGTAATTTTGCCTATGCAACAGTAATGTTAAATATTCTCAGTTATTAAGTTCCTGATAGTTAAAAAAGTAAACCTACAAAAACATAACAAATAGGTCTATAGGCTATTAAAACAACTAATTAACATTAACTAGAGGCACCAAAATTATTTTACAATATATAACCCTCAAGGCAATAAACAGAACTAAAATTAACAATAATAGTAATGCAACTCTTTCTAACATCAAATGTAAGCTAAATTTTGATGGAAAAGAGAAAGCAAAAGACTTGATGGTAGGGATGAATGCCAAAACTATTAATTTTTTAACTATAGTTTTTTTGTTCTTGGTGGCTTTTTGTCAATGTGATTGGTTTACTTTTTTGCTGCTGACCAGCTTAGGCATACTGCTGTTCAGTTTCTGCAGCTGGAGTTGCATGCTAATAGTTTTATGAAAGTGTGTGTTGCTCATCACTTGAAATTGTAAATATTTGCCTTGCACAAAATGCTATAGAGTCACATTTAATTTTATTTTTCTATTGTTTCTCACTATTTCAGGTACTCACAAGCAAACAACACATAATGGAATAGCAGATGTAATGGGCTCAGAAGGATAGAGGTAAGGGTGCTTTTTGCCTCCTTTGAATTAGCTAATCTTTAATAACATGAAAACATGATACAACATGAAGCTATAGCAGTGAGTTAAAGCATTAAATGCCATTTTTTGAAATCAGAAAAAGATTGCTGTCAAGGAATTGAGTTATTTTTATCTTTTTAATAAAGATCTCATTTGGTATTTATCTGGCAAAGTTTCTGAATTTATTGAAAAGCTTGTCACATGAAACACAAGTTAGTGGGTAATTTTTAGCCCTTTTCTTTGTTGTGAACTACTGTCCCTCAGACTGTACTGCCCTCCTCAGTTGCCCGGAAAAGTATTAGTACTTTCACTCCACTGATACAAGGAGATCACATCACTGACTAAGATAAAGAAAGGGAAACATCACACAATGCCCAACCCTGTGCCTACCTTCTGTCAATGAGATTCACATTAAAAACAAAATTCTAAACCACCATTATCTTTCTGACTTAGCTCACTGATTGATCAGCAAACTGATCTTTCTCACCTGCCATTCTGTTTGATAAATGAATAGTTACCAAGTACCAACTGCTACTGGAAACACACTTCTTTCTCTACATGGAGCTGAAAGTGTTAGCCAGCGAGCTGCAGGCTGAAATGACACAGGAACAGTTATGCAGTGCACAGGCTGACCTGATGCCAGAAGAATTGAAGTGGGCTGGCCCAATATTTGAAGCGAGGTAAAAATAAACAGAAACCCTTCTGAATCTGGTCCTCTGTGCTCTGCATAAATACCTATCATCAGGTTAGCTGGGAGGAAGAGCTACAGGATGGACATGAGAGGGCCTGATGGTTCCCAAGCAGGAGGAGACGGGCAAAGGCTAACGGAGGTGCATGGGGACGAAAGCTGTGGGCACACATTTGTTCCTGAAGATGGGAGCATCACTGGGCAGGGGTTGGCTCTGTCCCTCCAGGGAGAAGAAAAGTCTGGGAGAAGTTCTCAGGAGAGCAGATGGGAGAGCCCTGAGGGCCCCAGTCTTGGGAGTTCCTCCTGCCTCCTCCTCCAGCTTGCCGAGATCACAGGCACGCAGGGTCTTGCTGAGCATCAAAGATTAAAAGTTACAGAAATTCTGAAATGTTACCTTCCAATAGCATCCTCAGTCTGATTTAATCATTTTAAAAGTTGCTGTGTTTATAAAGTAAAAAGAGAAAGCATCTTGAAGCCTGACACCTTTCTTTTGTTCTTGTCCTTTTCAACCAGTCATAGGCTTGATTTAGTAAAGCAATGAAAGAAGACTCAGCCCATTGTTTGTTACCATTTGGATGCCTGAACCCATATGGCAGGGTTTTTTCATTACCTTTATTTGATTGTTGCTGTGGTCTTTTAACTTTGTGGAGCTCTTGCCACGCAGACCGCATCTTGGCATGCAGTAACTCATGGCAGAAACATCAGTGCTGAACAAGAGGAAAAAAACTGTGTTTAAAGCTCAAAAAAAAGACTCACAAAAAGGAGGACTTTGGGATTCAGAAGTGTGCGTGTTGAGTAACATGGCGTGAAGAAGTTTGGACATAAAGTTTGAACGTTAAACAGTAGACTCAAAAGACATCGACTGGTCTATGTCCATATAGTTAGAGCCTAAGCTCTGCAGAGGCAGTGAAGAGACCTCAAGAGGCAACAGTGTCTAAGATATCAGTGAGACCTTGAATATGGGTTTTGTAAAGCAGGTTATTTATTCCATAAAAACTCAGGTAGGCTTGGAATGGGGAGAGGCACTCTTCCTTGGGGCCTGGGGCTGACCACACTACTGGCACATCCCTGGACATACCAGTGTGCGGAAGGCAGAAGACCACTTGCTTCCTGCCACCAGCACCTTCAGAGTTGGCTGAAATTATTTTTTTCTACCTAGAAAAATAGATAATAGAATTTAAAATCAAGTTGTGGTATAGCACAAAAGAAAGAGAAAGGAAAGAAAGAAAGAAAGAAAGAAAGAAAGAGAGAAAGAGAAAGAAGGAAAGAAAGAAAGAAAGAAAAGAAACAAAAACCACACAACTTTCTTGGCTCTTAAAGTAATCAGAAATGAATACAAATGCCATTCAGAGAACGGCCCAACAAGTAAACTCCCTTCTAATCAGAGTGAGCCTTCTCTAGCTGGTATCAGAAATGACCCTGGACTCTACCCAGCTCCCACAGTGCTGTCTCCCAAAGGTAGTAAAAATTATTGTGTCTGACCCCAGCCAGTATGATTCATTCTGAGTGGTTTTGGTACAAGGCACCAAACCCAGGACCTTGTGCTTGCCAGGCAGCGTTCTTAGTGTGTTCTGAAGTTGCTGTGTGCATGTTCAATTCATTCTTTCAGATAGTGTTGTGACTCTGTGCAATGATGAGCCTGTGACAGCTGGGGCCTCTCTAGAGCACCAAAGATAGCCAGTTTGGGCACAAAACAGAGACTTTTAAAGAGTAACAGCCATTCATAAGGAAGAAAGTTTTTATACCTATTAATGTTTTTATAACAAAAATTTTTTATCACATTCAAATATAAATAAATTAGAATTAATTTGATGCTTTTGGAGCTTATAATTTTTCAGTAAGTTTCACTTTTGATTTATCAGGGAAACTAAGGCCATTTGGCTTAATGACAATGCACTAATGATTTTTAAATGAAATTGGTACAAAGTAACATATAAAAGAGTCGCACGAATTTTTTGAAGATAAATGATATTTTAAAATTTTGTTACTAAAATATAACTCTTTTTTTTACTTGTTCACTTAAAAATGTGTAGGTATTTTGAATACCACTTTTATACCTTTAAATTTCAATCATTGAGTATTCTCTATCTCTATGTTTCTTGTTTGTATATTGTAGAAAATGAGAGGTTTTTGTTTTGTTTTGTTTTGTTTCATTTTTGGAGATTTAAAACAATAATATAATAACCTGGAATGGCTGAGTATGCAGTTGCAGTGTGAAGGTTACTGTTACTGAAAATTATTTATCTGCAGCTTTTACAGGTCACATAGGCAGGTTTAATTTTCACTGAAAAACAAAACTTTCAATAAGTAATAGCAAATAAATACAATAGCAGGGTAATTTACAAAACTGAATCCATGATTTATGGTTGGTATAAAGATACAACATTAATTTGTAGTAACAACAAAAATCAATGGAACATTTTAGCTTTTTGAACATACATGCCAGACAATGTATCTAAAATGTTACCCTAACTTAGCATAAGTATCTAACATGTTTTATGTGTTCTTTGGCATTAGTCTGGATTTTCATCGGTATATAATGGCGGTTAACTTCGTAGGATCTTACAAAATGAGTGAATCTGAAGCTGAAAAATAGAAGGGATGGAGGAAAGGGAAAAATACTTGAAATGTATTATGTACGTGACCAATTCCCTACAGTGAATGTAATCATTGTGTACTACAAACATGTACTAATAAAAGCTTAAAAGAAAAACCCTTCAGCTATAGATCTCACAAGCATGCAAAGAAAATAAAATATTTGTCAGCAGAAGAGGAAGTAATATAACATGTAGCTAATAGGTGGAAAACTCAATACTTTTTTTTTTTTTTTTTTTTTTTTTGTCTTTTTTGTTTTTATCGGTACCAGGGATCGAACTCACGACTGTCTGCTTGCAAGGCAGGCGCTTATGCTGCTCAGCTAAATCCCCAGCCCTGAAAACTCAATACTTTAAAGAAATTTTAACAACTCACATATTTTCCAATGGAGGTCCACAGTTTTGTATAAATTTAATTGAAATGGTGGTAGTGCCAGATGTCTATGACATATTTATATTCTGTAGCAATATAGTAAATATTCATTTTTAAACATTACAAATTTCTATTGAAGTGCAACTTAGTTTTTTTCTAAAAGTTATCTTTCTGATATAAAATTTCTAATATAGAAAAATGTAAATGAAACTATCCTACATTTGTCTCAAATCAGGGCTATAGTCTTTATAGTATTAAGTCATTTATAATCCAAATTTCATTTTTACATTTAAAAAACGATTAAATAAGCATGAAGGCAGTTTAAGGCTTTGTTCTTCAATACATGGATCAGAATTCTGCTTTAAAGAATAAAGGTCAATTTTAAAACAGAAATATCTTTGTATAAGCCACGCAGGACACAAATAGAAGCTGGGGATGGTAGTGCATACTTATAATCTCAGAGGGCAGAGGCAGGAGGATCATTGTGAGTTAAGAGGCCAGCCTGGGCTACAAAGTGTGTTAAAGGCAGCTTGACTGATCTATGTAGTGAGACCCTGTCTCCAAAAGAGAAGAAAAAACCACAAGAGAAGGAGAAGGTACCAGTCAATGTTAAAGTCTTCTCAAAGCATTTGCTGTCACCAATACAAGGTATAATATTTGCCCAGATTTCTAGTTTCCTGTCTAGTTTTCTTTTTTTTTTTTTTTTTTTTTTTTTTTTTGTCTTTTTCCTTTTTACCGGTACCAGGGATCGAACTCACGGCTGCCTGCTTGCAAGGCAGGCGCTTATGCCGCTGAGCTAAATCCCCAGCCCCTAACTGTCTAGTTTTCTGTTCAAATATCAGCAAGGTAATGTTCTTTCTAACTGATAATCAATCCTCCATATTCATCCATACTTGAAAGATTATTTACAGTGGGGCAGAAAAGGTGAATCTCTCAATGCGCTGTTTTTACATCTCAGTTTCTTATACTTTATTATGAGATGGAAGAGGAGTGTGCCTCATTAACATCTCGCTTACCTGCTTTCACATACCTCCTCCAACACAGCGTGAGCACTCGTGAAGCTTGGTCTCCAGCAACTGAACAGCAGTTTTGCTAAAGTTTCTCATCTGCTGTGTTTCATACTTCACAGTGCTATATAATGAATTATGTATTTGTAAGAGAATTTGTTTTCATACTGAGGAGTCAACTCGGGGGAAAGCCAGCCCATTTTTATGTTACTTTGAGGCAGAGTCTGACAAAGTTGCCCAGGCTGCCGTTGAATTTGTGATCTTCCATCTCCTGAGGATCTGATGATTAGAAGTGTGAGCCATCACACTTAGCCTCTAAA